CATCTTGAATGCGGCGGCCGGTTGTGTAATGCGTGCGAATGGGCAGCCAGTGTCGACGGAGAGCTTTGAGAATATCATCAGCCTCTTGCAAGTTTTCTTCGCCGAAATCATCAGCTGGAAACTCGCGGGGATCTTCGGGAACAGTTTCAGGTGACTCAGGACGGGAAATTTGATGTGATAACGGTTCTTCGTGTATTGATGGTGGAGTTGCACCGTTTTCGTGGTAGGTTTTGATGTGTCTCCTCAGGCTGTCATGTCGACTGAAAGACTTGTCACACAGCGGGCAGATGTGCCCCTGTGATGCCTGTGGTGGGGAAGGTAGTGGTACGCCAGTCGGTGATGTTGAAGTAAGGACATTGGGATCAGCCTCCATCAAATCGGGGTCTTCTTTGTTCTCAGAGACGAATTGACTGGGTTCGGGGTTTGGCTCGAACGATATTGGATAAGATGCCGACACTCCACGGTGGTCGTTTTGAAGATGACGCAACATATGACTTACTCTCTGGAAAACGTCTCCGCAGGCTGGACAGGTTGATTTCGTAATACTTGGGCTTTTGGCCTGGGGAGGGTTACAGTCAGTTCCGGCTTCAGCAATGGTCGACCCTGCACTCTCTTGATCCGAAATTTGACGGGTGGTGGACGGCAGCTGATCTGCGCTGTGGTTCTTGCGATGCCGTTTTAAGTTGTCGGGACGAGAGAACACTTTGTTGCAAACCGGACAGGTCACGGCCTTCTTGTTGACACTCGGACCGCTCTCGTGAAGCTTGCGGTGTCGGATGAGGTTGGTCAACTGACGGAAGACCTTTCCACACGTCCCACATGGGTATCGTCCACCTTTGGCTGCCCTTTCGCCTTGTTCTTGACCCCCTCGTCCATCCTGCAATCCTTGCTGCTTCACCGCGGCTGACGGCTCGGGAGGAACGTCAACAATCTGTACGTGTGGAGAAAAAGAAACAGGATCGTTAGTACATAATGTTCACTTTTATATACATGTTTTGACATAAAATGCGATGAATACATAGACATTTCGATTTTATTAACTACATTACTAAATAAGGAAAACAAAATTTGAGTCTCAACAAGATGGTTTGTAAATTCACAGTAATGTACAGTGTATCTGAGTGATATTTGTTTTTCAGACGGTTGTTTTATACTTACCATAAGCTGATCTTCATCTTGATCGATGTCCCACTCCTCCTGCAAGCATCGAAGGAACTGTTCACTGGGAGGGGTGCTTGTCGGAAAGGGTTTCATGGCTCCCTGATGGCTCATTTTGAAACTTGAGGGTATCTGGGTTATATGAGGAAAAAAATTGTTAATGTAAAGACAAAACTCATACCATTCCTCTACAAATGTAGATGTACATGTATTATTGTACACGTTGCAGTTAATAGGACACTTACTCGAGACTCGAGATCGATGTGACGATGTCAATGTTCACATTCAAACTGATCCTCTTGATGACAATCCTCAACTTATATACCTTCCAGATGACGAAAATCTCTCCTTTTTTTCACAAAATCTAAAAATAGCGCAGCATATTTATTGTTATGCTAATAAAAGAACGGTACGTTGAAATACTGTTTGAATTTTAATTTTCTTATTTTTTTTAAGTAAGCCTACCCCTTTTTTTTTTTAACTTAATCTAAAAATAGCGCAGCATATTTATAAAAAAACACTACGTTGTAAATAATGTTTGATTGAATTTTCATTTCTTTTTTCTTTCCTCTTAAGTATTTTTTTTTTTTTAAATTAACGAAGAAATGGAAAAAAAAAGTTGATTGCGTTCACGTTGGTAAACAAGGTGCCTCTTATAACAATGTAATTCGGAAATGAGCAAGAAAGGAGCAAAAGAGCAAGGCAGGAGTAAGAAAAGATCAAGAAAAGAGCAAAAGAGCAAGAAAAGAGCAAGAAAAGAGCAAAAGAGACAAGAAACGAGCAAAAGAGCAAGAAAGAAGCTAGAAAAGAGCAAAGGAGCAAGAAAAGAGCAAAAGAGCGAAAGAGTAAGAAAAGAGCAAAAGAGCAAGAAAAGAGCAAGAAAAGAGCAAGAAAAGAGCAAGAAAAGAGCAAAAGAGCAAGAAAGGAGCAAGAAAAGAGCAAGAAAGGAGCAAGAAAAGAGCAAGAAAAGAGCAAAAGAGCAAAAAAAGAGAAAAAGAGCGAAAGAGTAAGAAAAGAGCAAGAAAAGAGCAAGAAAAGAGCAAAGGAGCAAGAAAAGAGCAAGAAAAGAGCAAAAGAGCAAGACAAGAGCAAGAAAAGAGCAAAAAAAAGAGCAAAGGAGCAAGAAAAGAGCAAGAAAAGAGCAAAAGAGCAAGACAAGAGCAAGAAAAGAGCAAAAAAAGAGCAAAGGAGCAAGAAAAGAGCAACAAAAAAAAAAACAGCAAACGAACAAGAAGAAAGTAAGACATGAAACGAAGGAGCATTAAAAGAGCAAGACGTGAGCAGATGAGCACTAAAAGAGCAAGGGGTGAGCAAAAGAGCCCGAGCAGCTGAAATGAGTAGCTACATATCAAATGTTTTCATCCGGATTTTAGATTTGGACCTTATGAAGTAAGCTTTGGTGTTTTAACGTGGCCGTGTTTGTTCAGTGTGTACTTTTCTATGGTTTGATATTGAGTTACGGCTTGTGTTGAAGCGTCTTGTACGTCTTGTGGGTTACTTCAATGTTATTTCTTGTTTTCTAATACCCTGCGTTTGTTTTTTTTTGCGACAAACTATATATTTAATGAATACGTACACATTTATATATATATAATAGTATTCGATTCAAGAAAGCATGTCAAGAACTGTATCTATTAAATTTCACCTTCATCCGCAATTGGGTAATGCTCTTTCGTCTACATTCACACACCGCGTCTCGATAGTTAGCAATCATAGAGTGTTCCTTATGTGTTATACATGTAGGATTATCTTCGAACTCTATAATACGCATTCGGCGCTAATCCTCACGATCGATTTGTCCATCGATCCATGACGTCACTACGCCACAGACACACCTCGTTTTATGATCCTCGTCGGGGTTACCGATATGATCCTCGATGAGGATCATGATCCTCCACAAAATAATTTAAAAAAAAAATTACAATGTAACAAACATAAATATCAAGTCACAAAAAAAGAGAGAAAAATTGTAACTCGTTGTACAAACCCATGTCACTATTAATGAAGAGCGGGAGACGTTTAATCCGTCAATAAAACACAAATGAAGGTAAATGTGTTGGACAAAAACGAATTAATACTTTGAAGAACTGATCAACGAAGGTCCACTCGTTTTAATTTGATTTTTAAGTTGAGATTTTTTATTTTTTTTTTTATTACATGTATACGTAGTGTATACATTTACCACTCAATTGTTTAGCAAATAGTCATAATGCTTTTGTGTTAATAAAAGTATAAGTAAAAATTAATTAAAATAAATCTTCAAAAGACAGAATCTCGAAGCTTGAATGTGTCTTTATTCGCGTGTGAGTACTGCGTTGCCCTAAGGGGACAAAATATGTTACAAACACTGTGCAAGTCAACTCTATCTTCTTTTACACATGTATTTCACTTATTGTTAAAGTGCCCATGAAATGGTGTTTTTTTGTTTGTTTGTTTGTTTGTTTTTTTTTTTTTAATGCAAACATTGAACTGTCCGGTTTGCAACGGACCTTTGTGTCCCATGTAGCCTTAATTTAAATTTCACTTTACCGTTTTCAAGGGAATTTTGATACTTTTTTTATGTTAATACCAAGTTCAATTTTATTAACAAAAGAATAATGTCATATCAGACACAAAAAGTTGCCAGAATTCTAGATATTTCACTGACGTAAACTTTTAATTTTTTTTATTATTCATTTGTGTGTGGTCCGTGATGGCAGTAAATCAGTGAGCAAACTGTTCTCCCAAATATTTTTAGAGAGCAAATTTTTGGGGTTCACAATAAAAAAAACACCCATAAATATGAACGTGTCTAATTGAATGACATTACGGCAACAGCACCCTCAGTTGTTTTTGAAAAACATGGAACATTTTAAAAGTTGAACGAAGTGTGCTTTCCAATGTAGTTAATTAAAAAAAAAAAGGATACCAATTAGTTTTCATTTATTAAAAAGCAGGACAAAATAAGTTCCGCAATGATATTCACTGCGGGGGGGGGGGGCTATTGGAATTATTAAATGAACGTTTTTAAAAAATAAATACCAAACAAATTAATAATAATAAAAAAAAAGAAGACATATACATGTACATGTACAAATAAATAAATTATAGAAGCTGCAGATTGATGTTAAAGATAATGTGTGTAAATATTCATATTGTACTTGCATTGATAAGTGAAAGTTTCTTTTTTTTAAGTTGACTTTTTTTCTTCTTTTTCTAAATGTTACGTGCATTATTATTCGGCCTCCTTTCCATTAACGTTCATAAAGATCTATAATCGTAAATAAAATGAATCTGCATCAAGTAATGAAACGTATCGCTGCTCAAAGTATATACATTTACGACTGAATTTGTTAAGTTTGCTACAAATATAAGAAATAAATTAGAACAAATCTTCAAAAGACACAGAATCTTGAAGCTTGAATGAGTCTTTGTTCGTATGTGAGCACTAGCTGCGTTGCACTTAGGGAAATATTCACTGACACAATAGAGTCAACTACATCTTCATTAAGCGTAAACAAAAACAAATACATATGTACACTCAATTTGTACATTAATTAAAGAAGTTCAGATTGCTGTTAAAAATGTGTAAATATTTTTAACGTATCTGAATTGGTAAATGTTTTTAATGTTATGCATTACTACGTGTGATATTATTTCATGTATTATATTCATTTATATCTTATTTATTTATTTATTTTTTTGTCGTTGTAAACGCGTCTTTGTTCTCAAATTTAGCTTAATAAGTGGAGTCCCCCAAAATAGCGCAATAAACGTTTGGAAAACATCATGGGTACAGAAAAGTTATAAATATAAATCTGAGTGTTAAACCATATTCTAAAGTGTTGTTGATTTTTTTTTTCTTTTTCTTTAGCGAGATACACAACGATTTTACGTTGGCGTGGTTTATCTCAAAGGCATATGCACTAGTACATGTAACTCAACTCAATTCTTTTACAAAAGAACGAAATAAATTCGATTAAAATTTAAGATATATAACAATGACAAATAAATTTTAATGCGATTCTTGAATGACTTGTTATGGAACCTAAATGTCTTATGTCACTTGAGTGTGCACTATAACTCCGCTTCTTCCTTTGATCACAGTGGTGGACATGCTGATGGGAAAGGTGGACCCTGAAGCAGTGAGAGAGAAATAAAACATATGTACCAATTATCATCCGAACGATTCTACATCATGTATCTTACCTTTGCAAACTCATGTAGAAGAAAGAAAAAAAAAACATCGGGTGATAAAAATGTCTCATGAGACATAAACTTACCTTGAATTTTGTGCGACCGTTCAGGAGATTCGGGACTGGATGAGATAAAAACGCGGACGTAAAGTGCGGTCACCTTGTCGTTTTGTCGATGCACCCCAAACATTCAGCTGACGTTGAATGTTCACACCGCCGATCGATTGTGCACATAGAGATTGTAAAAACACCACGAATTCGGACTGGACGATCGGACAAGTCCAGACTGGTCTTCTTGTTTGTCGTCCATCGATGACTCACCGCTGTGACGTCACTGGGAATGTGCTCGGGAACATTCGAGAGCACCGCACGTGTATTCGGAGTGGAAGACTGGACAAGTCTGGACTAGTGGACTGGTCATCATGTTTGTCGTCCATCGATGACTCATCGCTGTGACATCATTGGGTTTCCCCACTCAAATACAAAGGCCATTGTGATAGCTCGGACCCGTTTTGTGGGTGTATGATGTGCGACACGACGGCAATCGGCAACTACCGATACTAATGTACGGTATTATTTCTTCCCCATAAATGCTATGGCCTTAACTTACACGAATGATCTATAAATACTATTTGTACTAATCGTGCTGGTTGTCACAACCTCCGCAATAATAACAAGCATAACAAGCGTTCGATTTTTCCAAAATTTCATTGACCTGGTAACCAAGATTCTGCAATCACGAAAAGACAGAAAACCTTATTTTGAGAGTATTTTAACAACAAAAAGTATTCATCTTCGGTAATTTTGTACTCCGGGACGACGCTATTGAGGTTCAGGCCAAAACAGTCTACCTGAAAACGACGGCTGGACGTTTTGTTTGGTGCGCAATTTGCCAAACGACACAGAAACGTTATTGGTTTCGCAATAAACATTCGAACGACGAAGATACGTCAGTGAGACCATTTTGTGCACCAACTATAAAGCACATTTTTCTTAGCAGAGACAAAATCAATCATCAAAAAAAGTAATTTGCTTTTTTAAAGAAAAAAAAAGTAAAGGCTAATTAAAATGAGCTTCACGAGATTGGTAAACTCGGTTAATAATTTTATGAACAATGTTTTACTAACATTTTTTTTTTTTTTGCAAGTAACGATCCTTTTTGGAACGTTTCCTATTTTAACGACTATGTGTGATTTAACTAGTGTGTAACTACATCACCCCCCCCAAAAAAAAAAAATGTAAATGAAACTCAACCCCAAACATAAAAAAAAATATAAATATAAACTTCAGTTACAACCTTTCTGTGTCTGTCTTCTGGTTTTACATTTAGACATTACCTTTATTAAAACCACGATTTTTTTTTTCTTCAGTTTGTCTGCATGTACACTATGACTTTAAGCTTGCTCAATGGCAGCAGTGCCCCGTCGAGAACAAAACACAAGAAAGAAAAAAGGGAATGAAACGTTTATTTTGACGGAAAAGACAGATCTATCCAGCAATACACATTGTACAATAAAACATGTTTAAACATTACATCGCTTTTAACACTATTTACCTCATCATATACGTACGGGCTTAAAATACACAAAAAAGTGCGCTCCAGTGCCTGACAATCGTTTGCATATCCTCTACCAACAATACCCATTCGGCGCTAATCCCCACCTCATCGATTTGTCATTCGATCCATGACGTCATCTCGTCACAGACACACACCCCACCCCTCCTCCTATGATCCTCGGCGGGGTAACCGATATGATCCTCGATGAGGATCATGATCCTCCACCGGAAAACGAGGTCAAATGCTTAGACTACACTACTAACGTTCCCCCTTCAAACCACACTTATCCTCAACTCCGATTATGCTGATAATAATACTGCTACAGCTATAACCCAAGAGGAAACAGAGGCACTGGAACAAGCAACTGTTCAACAGGCAAACTGCAACCTATGGTATAAATGCAGAGAACAGAGACTGACTGCTTCCCAGTTTGGTCGGGTAATCACAAGAAAAAAGGATGTGAACACTAAGTTTTTAACTAGCTTGTGATCTCCACAGGTCATACACAGTAAAGCAGTATCATACGGCAAAAAAACATGAGAGTACTGCAAAGGAGGCGTACGTGAACAAGACCAACCTTCACATACATGATTGTGGCCTTGTAGTAAACCCAGCCTTTAGTTTCCTGGGGCTACACCTGATAGTAAGGTGTGCGATGCGGGTCAAACAGAAATTCTGGAGGTAAAATGCCCATACAGTGCAAGAGACATGACTGTTGCAGAGGCAGTAGATGGAAACCCCAACTTCTACATGGCAAAGTCTGGCAATGGCTTGCAACTAAAGAAGACCCACCAGTACTTTCATCAAGTTCAGGGTCAACTGATGGTGACTGGAGCCCCATTCTGTGACTTTGTTGTTTTTACAAGCAAAGACATCCATGTTGAAAGAATAGTGCCAGATACAGCAGTGTGGGAAGCCATGCTCAGTAAACTGGCTTTATTCTACAAGGAGCATGTAACACCATTTCTAGCTAATACTTGAAAATGAGAGAAACTTACACATGCCATGTTTAACTTCAGCAGGCTTTTTGTCAGGTGCACTCGATAATTCCTTTTGATTCCTTTTATCAGATGACTGCCCACTGTAAAAAAAAAAAAACCATAAAACAATAATAGAAATAACACGTCCTTAAAAGTCGAATTTAGCAGTGCGAAAATCGAAGCATTTACTTAGAAAACGCTAAGAATTTTTTAGAGCAGTCTCATAGGTTTTGTGCACAGGGTGTCATTTGTTGTCTGTGTATGGAACTCTTTCCATCGGAATATTTCAATGTTGAAGAAGATTACAGACCAAATTTTGAGAAGTTTTTGAGCATGTGTGCATTAAATGAAGACATGTGCATGCTGACTGCTCACTGCGCTGCCATTTGATTGGATGCAACATAGATTTATTAAGATGTCATGAAATGTAATTTAATGATGAATTTTTTTCCATTAAAACCCTCCTTCTATTTAGGCAGTCAAAGTCAGTCAAAATTTCCTTCCACTTCCCCTGCGATGCCTTTACACAGGCAAGTCATAAACAGTCAGATTATTCCAAGCAGGCACTCTGACTGATCAAATCCAGTCAACAGACAAAAACAGGAAGGTGGTGGCACATCTGTATCAAGTTACGAAAGCAGTCACAGCCAGTCAACCTTGCTTATGGAGGCTGGAAGCTCTTAACTTCCATAAGTTCTTAACTTCCATCAGTCACTTGACTGATAATGATATTGACGGCACAAACAATGGGGCACAGGATGTGTGTTTGCATAGGAGGGTTAATTGCATGAGAATTCGTTCTTCCCAGTAATTTGTTTAAAATATTTTAAACTGTGCCACACAGCCTTCAGAAGATGTTCATAATGGAAATGGAAGCTTTGCACAATTGCCACATTAACCTACCTGTTTTCTAGGTTAAGAATACGTTTGAGTGGAGGCCTCCTGGCTTTAAAGATGGCACTCCCATCTGCCGGTATGGGGTCTGGATAGATTGAGCTTGGTTCTTTGAAATGCTGTGGAAAGATGTGGTACCGGTACTAAAGTTTATAATTTGGTTTTGTTTTTATTTAAAACCCTGAACCTGTAAAAGTCTAAAGCTCATTGTAAATTTGAACTGGGCCAGCTCATTGGGTATTTTCAAATGAAAATAACTGAAAGAGTTCCATACTCGGACAACACTTAACAGTGTTTTCTAAGTACCAAGTGCCGGTAAATCAATGCTTTAAGTTTTTCACACGTTTTTCACACATTTGACTTTTTAGGACATGTCATTGCTTTTCATGGCTGATAGGTCACTATAGGGAAAAATGAGCGTTGTCCGTGTATGGAACTCTTTCCTTTTTTATTTAAATTCCAACAATAACTCAATAATGTCAACTCCTTGTTTATATTATAGAATTTCAATGCTGTAGACCACATACAGGGTTTTTGCAATATTGCCAAGCTTGGTAATTTTAAAGATTTATTAAATTTATAATTTATAAAATGAAATTTGTTATTATGAGTTGCTTTTATTGTGGTACTTATTATCTAGACCCACTCCACTCTAAATTCCATGCTTAGTGCTAGAACTACTTTTTTCCGAATTTTAGGTTTGGTCTAAAAAGTGTCTGTGTTCTGTGACTGTCAAAAGTGTCATCATGTCTGTCGCTATGACACAGACCAAAACTAAAATTCGAAGACCTAGCGACCCAGACTAGTTCTAGTTGGACTATCCTGCATTGTAATTTCTTAACACCTCGGCCCCCTGAAAAGAAATTTGCTGAGAGTACTGACTGACATGACTGACTGATGACCAAACTCCTACCTTGGAACACACGTATTTGTCCTTGTTGATTTTGTAAACATTCAGATCTGAATGGGGACGTCAACAGGCTTTAATCCATCGTAAACATTTTTCACGGTTTGATTTTGGTTTGGGGAAAGGGAAAAAGATTACTTTATGAAGTGGATCCGGATGCCTGGTATCTGACTTACATGTACCGTAGCAACAGATTTTGACTATGTGCACAGAAAGCCCCATTTTTACGTTTTTACACTGCATGTGACCGAGTTTGACCGAGGTCATGGCGGATCACGAAAGTTAGCAACGGTTGTCAAGTTTCCGTGGTCACCTGACCAAAAGGCGTTATCTAATTGGCTAACGCGCACTGTTTGATTGACAGGGCGGAACGGTCCATTGATCAATGATAACAAATAATGGCGTACATGTAAGGCCAAACAAAAAAGTCTCCGGTTTCTGGTATGCGCGCGTGTCGTCGTATCCATGCGTGTCGGCAAAATGATTTTTTTTTTCAAAGAAAGATGATGTTTCAAAACCGCCAAACTCACTGGACTTTTGGGGGGCCTAATGAAAGTGAAATAAAAAAGAGGTACGCAAATAACACAACTGCGGTACCCTGTGTGTATTTCTTTTCTTGTTTTGAGTAAATTCAAGGGGAAATGTATATGCATGTAACAGAAATGCCGACGAATCTAGAATAGAACTCAAGAGAAGCAATAATTTAATTTTGAAGTGAAGAAGCAAAGACAAAAAGCCCAAACCCATAACGGATAAGTGACAGTGTTGTTGTAAATGGGTCTCATGTCATGGCGATTCATGTTAGGGGCCTGGAATAACTGTTATATTATTCTATTATTTTCTCTCTTGACTACTATGAAAACATTTCAGCCTTGAATTTATGTTTATAATGGGCGTTTACGCATTCTTGACATAGACTAGAGGTTCACGATATTAAATCACATTACTCGACAGACTACTGAACAATTATTGGTCCATTTTATGCTGTATTGGGGCCAATTTTGTCAGGCAAGGCAGTTGGTTGGTGCATTATCCAAGGGACGAAGCAGGATTATCCATGAATGTTTGGCTGGGAGACGAAGTCGATGCCTTGGATTCGTAAACGCCTATACAATATACTCTGTGCAAGAACGTAGATGGCGCTCTTAGTGACCGCTAGTGTGAGCTCCTATTGTTGCAGACCAGTAAATAACCCTGCCGTAGACCCCATGATAAAACCTCACTTCCAAAAATCAGAAAAACAAATTATCAACTCTCTAAGGTATTAAAGCTTACTTCAGTATTTTTCATTTCTATTCAATTGTTTGTGAGGAGTGGGATATTCAACAACTTTTTGAGAAAAAGAATTTCATCCAAAGATGATTACGCCTAAAAGTATTCCTTAAGCACATAACCATTTAAAAAAAGGATACCTACATTCCGTCGTAAAATATAGCAATTTAAGGGCCCACTTTTTTCAAAACTGCAAAGAAATACAAATTAGGCTCGCAGTGCTATTCCTGGCTTTAACTTGGTTTTTCAAACCTCTCAAATGTATGGCCCACAATATAGGAAATGTTTGGCTTATTTACTGGCCTGCAACTATGATAGACAAACTGATTAATCTGATTGCACCCACCAAAAACAAGCGCGTATTGCGCGAAGTACGTAGGATACAAATCTGTAGTTTTAATGTTATCGCCAGGCATACGTAAGCTAGTAATACGTGATCAGATGCGCCGGTTAATTATGCCAGACAACCACCTCTTAACCTTTAGATTTCGACCAATCAGCGGGCGCTTTCTATATCGGGCCTTCGGTCATTTACCCAGTTGTCGTGTCATAGATATGGATTGAAAAAAAAATAGACACAGCACCACACGCTGTGGTCACGCGCTCTTATGTTACGCGATATGTGCAAGCTTGTCAATGTTTTATCGATCTATATGCCCTCCCGGAATGGTTGCATTACAAAACACTGCATTTAAATTGACCAATTAAATTGATAGTCATGATTTGGGAATGACATGACGTCACGATTTAGCATAGTCAATTCCGATTGGCTGAGGCGTGAGATCGCACAATCTGCATGTAAGGATAACGGGTGATACTCTGACTATACGTAAGGATGGATGAGTTCAATTAAACGTAAACAACCCCACAACTATGACACGTGTGAATAATGGCTTCGCATATCAGAACTTTCAAAAGGGAAAATGCATAGTGACCATAGAACTATCCGTGCCAAACTTGAAGGCATTTGAATGCAAATTCTAGAAGTGATGCCCAAATAACATACTATTATTTTGACTCCCAAATGAGAATAAACAAAATGGTTAAAGAACCGTTGCGACAGTATGCATTAAGCTCTGTAACTGTAGCCAGGTTAACATTTTGCTGTTGTTTTTTTCGTTATTTTCACTGCCGTACGTTTGCTAACTTATTAAATGATCATACGTGTACAGAGCATCTTTATGTGATCATTGTTGTTTGGTTTCAATACAAATATGGCTTTATAGACAGTTATAACAAAGCACACAAACTGTAATGTGACATACAAGCTATATAGTTTTAATTGCAGGATAATTTGAGGGAACATATAAACGTTTTACAATTTATAGATGTTTTTGTAGATGATTCACCTTTTCCATTTAACTGTTTTTGCATATGATGTCAATCAAGTAAGTTTGTTAAACTATATTACTGAATTATTCAATTTCAGATTGGCCCACGCCAAGTATATTTCTGAATATTTTTAGGCTTTACATCCATAGTTTGATAAAGATAACCAACAACGCACCACCCTGTTTCCAAATGGAAGGAGATGTCACAAATAGAGTCATGTTTTTGTTTTCGTATTTAGTCTTATTTTGAAAATGCATAGGTCTACACTTTACACAATCCTGCCCACCAGGTTATGAAACCAAACAGAGTATTTTATGACAAGTATACATACACAGTTCCCTTTATACACTGGGTTACATTATAAGTCCAACTGAATATCTTTAAAGTCCAGGCTTAACTGTATTGCAATGGATATATTGTCACACAATTGTCTAATTATGTATATGTTTCTTTTTTTTATTTGCTTTGGTATTCACATTTCAATAATATTAATATCAAGAATAACTTTATTATATGATACGCCTCAATAACATTACCTGTGTGACTGTTGCGTACTTTATTTCATAAACGTGCTTTCGTAGTATAAAAATGCAGAACTGAGTTATATTGTACAAACATTATGCATTCATTTTATTCAAATATTTTAAAACACAAACCGTTTCATTAAAATGTACAGATTTATGAAATTGTATATGTATTTTTCTTCTGTCATTTTTCAAATTTGCTTTTAATATTCCCGTTTACAAAATATCTTATCTAAAATAACCTATGGCATGATCCGCCTAAATACGATGACCTGTGTATGTTATGATTTATTTCATGCAAAGTGCCTTTGTAATTACAATTGCAGAACTGAGTTTACGATTACAATTGCAGAACTGAGTTTACGATGTACAAAATATACACGTGTATTTCATTGACATTTTAAAAATACAAACAGCTTAATTGAAATGTGCCATCCCAGCTCTCACAAAATAGAAACGACTACAAACAATTCATTGTATACACAGCCTCCAATTATTCCGAGAGCAGTCACTAATTGAATATTTTAGTAACTAATTTTTTTATGTCACAAACTATTTTAGTTACACAAATTGCGTGTGTCTTAGGTGGATATATTGAAGTCCAAACCAGGCGAACCATAGCCAGTCATTTCACCAAGAAAGGTTCACATGCTCACACAAACGTATCTGCAACAAAATTCTCCATCTCCAAGTATATCTTTAAAAGAAAACAAAATAACACATCCTCATCAGATACGATTAAAGAATGATTTAAATTATAGTAAGATTACAATTCTTTGAAGCCTCAGTGAGGTGCTTTATACAGGAAAGATCTAGTTTTTAAGATTTGACTAAATATGCAGAGTATGATTACATACATGCATGCATAATGAAATCATTATATGTTGTTATTAACATGACTTTGACCTGAAGTTGGGCAGTACCTGGCAGTTAACAATCTTTGCATGGAAATGACGTAGCTTACCTTCGCTTCAGGAATCATACTGTCTAACATCCTCTTCAAAGTGCCGAAAGACGGGCGACGGGAGGGGGAATGTCTCCAACATTCAATCATAATAGTGTAGCTGTAAAAAATAATCAGAACTCTTGTCAAGGAAAATGATTTGGTGTTTTTTGTGGTGGAAAAATAATTTGAGTGACTTAGAATCAAGACATCGAGACCCCTGTCAATACTGAGTCTTCACAAGCTAACGATAATTAAGTCTTCACATGATTCTCACGTGATCATGTCTCATGTTAATAGATAAGCTAATCAAAAGAACTTTGTCTTAGTCAAACTTTTTTATCAATTCCTTTTACTGAACTATCTTGGGATCTGACTTACAATAAAAATTAAAGAGACAGGGGAGCACTTCCCCCCCCCCCCAGATTTACCCAAGTGCCCTTTCGAGCTTAAATGTGCCACCTCCAGATAAAACAAAACGGGCCCTAAAATTTCGGATAATTTGTTTTCATTAACATCTCCTAAAATGGTATAGAGAGTTCTGATGTGAACGAGGAATATGAAAACGAAGCCCAAAGAGTGCCCCCTATTTTGGAACTTGGTACCAGCCCCCCTCCCTTCACAATATTTGATTTAAGTGTCCGGTAAAAAAACCAAAAAAAAAACAAACGTGTCGACATTTCAGCGACGGAAGATTCCTTTTACAGTGCCCCTTTTTGGTGATGTCCCCCAATTGTCAGGAGAGATTAAATTTGTGTTGACAGGACTAAAATGGTCTGGTTCCCCTTAATGTAAGACACCATAATTGACATATGATAATTATGGCAACTCAATATAAGTCGTCGATTCGATCTTTGGGTTGGCTTATGTCTTGAAGCCTGATTTCGTATTAAACAAGAAGTTCATTATACTCACAGTTGATTGTGGCAATGCGAGGGATTTGGTAACCGATAACCCTCAGCTAAGATGTCAATTATTTCACTGGCGGACATTCCACGATAGGGATGGTCACCTGAGAGCATAGAGTTACATTTGTTAGATTAAAATAAGAAAGAACTGAAAAGGGTCTGTTTTTCATCAAATAAGGAAATTATATTAATTAACAACATTAGCAAACAAATCTGGTTGCAGTTTGCAATGGGATTCGATGAATAATCATCGTTCGTTACACCATGGTTTTGTTTGTTTTGCGTAGAGCAAAATCGATGCTTAATATCGTTACATATAGTTCTTTTGAAGACGACATGTCTATTACATGAGACCATTTCATGAGGCTAAAGTTTGCCAGTGCATGCAACGATTACATTTCTTGAAACGCAATTGAGCAAACGGCTCATGCGATAGGACCACGTACTGACCTCTATACTAACTACACTGGCGTACAGTGCACATGCATTGAAACAGCATCCGCCAGCTTTGGTCAGCCACGACGCATGCGCAGTAAATTATATTCAGAGTTGACGTGGTGAATATAAGCGTTTTATTTTCTGACCCGCTCGCTGAGATTCAAATAATCATATTCCTTAGAACGCCCAACATCCACGAATAATTGATCATTAGGAAAATTGATGATGTGAGTAAAAAACAAATGCAACTGTAGAACGTGACGTTCCGGGGATCCAAGAATATCGAATCATTTGCTTCAAGAAGAATTGGCCAATGAGCAGCCAGTCTAGTTAGTTACAAAGTTTTAGTTACACGTACCTAGCGTGACAATCTCCCACAGCAAGACACCAAAGGACCACACGTCGCTCATTGTGGTGTACACGTTCTGAACGAGACACTCCAAAGCCAGCCAGCGAACAGGAACCAATCCCTGAATTGTTGAAATACAACATAATTTAGGTTTCTGGACTATGAAGGTTTCTGGACTGTTACAGTTTGGATGTAGGAATTTACGTGGGGGGCACGAGGCCGCTAGTCAATGCATGTAAAAAGAAAAAAAAAATGTTGCCAGTACCTACAAAGTAAGGGGGCTCACGAACTGGAAAGACTTGAGAAATCGATACCTTAGATCCCCAAAATAACACACTTTATCACGAATGACAACCTATAATAGGACTGTCACTTCCCCTTTTGCTTTTGCCATATATTCAACCTAATGACATTTCAATGTGCTTTCATTGTTCCTTGACAATTACAAAGGCAAGGGAGAAGGCCTGCAGACCATAGAGTATTAGTCCACTGGTGAACTTAAAATAAAACACAACAATGACATGTTGACACCTAAAAAAAAAAAAACCTGTTATCGAATGTGAACACATACGACTTAAACTCATACATGAAAGACATGCCAAGCCTAGTAAAGCTGGACCCAGAGCCCACAACATTCAAACAGGCTATAGTGACGAGGAATCATATAGGATATTACTGCGTGGCTTACAAGTGACAGTGATTTAATGAGTCACTTAGGAATAGAGAGGATTGTGCTGGCCCTCTCTGAGTCCAGTAATAACAAACATCCCCCTTTCAGTCGGCAATTTAGATGAGGAAGTAATAGATCCTGCTCTTGATATCTTGCCAATCAAGATGAGTCCGGCTCAGTGGGATTGCTATAGTTACTTTACCTGGGATGTTTTCTCATATTGTTCAGTCTCAGAAATGTCACGTGCCAATCCAAAGTCAGACAGTTTGCACACCAGGTCGTCACTGAGAAGGATGTTGCGAGTAGCCAGGTCACGGTGAATGCACTGCAATGAAGAGCATGAAGGTAAAAGTAAAAATGCTATACGCGGCATTATACCGAACCACTGTATTGGCAATTTTTATTGGCATATTATCCATGCTTTGAAATGGTTATTTATGGAGATCGTTTTAATATTTCTGTAGGAAAATACCAACAGCCACATTTTGTTTCAAAAAGGTGTCAATACATGTATGGTATAGACCCTTTGTATTCTGAAGTCATTTTTAATTATTTGGGTAGATTTTTTTTCAATTTCGCTCCAACAAATGTACCAGAGAGGTATTTGCAAAATCACAGAAAATTACGATTGCTGTTAGTATCTGCTCGGAACAAATTGTGTGTGTGTGTGGGGGGGGGGGGTGTATACAGGCATTACATTCACTGTGTGGACTTCTGAACAAAAGATGTCCACATAAACCAGGTAGAGGAGACACTGTGCGGACTTGGGCAAGTCCACACAGTGTTTCCCCATTTCTGGAAAACAGGTTTAGAGGCATTTTTGGGTTAGGTTTATCAGAAGCAGAGTGTAGCAGAATGAAGAGAAACACTGAAGGGAATCATAGAAAAAAAAATGGGTTGAAAGAGTTTTCACAGTTCGAGAAAAATGAGTTTTTTTCACTGGTTTTTCTTAACTACACGAAAGCCATGGAAAGTCCACACTTGGTATGTAACGTGAACTTGGGTGTGTGTGTGTGTGTGTTACTTCTGTTCGACTTTACCCCACGTACCCCCATGGAGGAGAGGTAGTCCATTCCGTTGGCAATCTCAGAGGCAAATGTCAAGAGCTGGAAGGGGCAAGCAGGCTGTGCGCCCTCAACGGCATCAACTCTCCAGGCATCTTTCTTCACCCTCAGGTATTTCTGTAAGTTGCCTCTGGATAGATACTCCAGTATCAGGTAAAAAGGCTCTATAAAATGACAAAAGATCAAGGCATTTAAACCCAACATTATCATCATGGGGTGTGCAAACACGGAAATGTAAATGCCAATTCGACTGGCTGTTGCACGCTACGGCGAATGTGCCGAGGAGCAACTGTCCGGCACTCTTAAATAATTAAATAGTGACGTCCTTTAGTTGAGAGTGTTTTAAATTCACTTTAAATAATGTCCCCATCAATACCCATTGTTACACAGTCCTAGGGATAGGATTGTCTACACCTCAAAAACCGGTTCATTTAAAGAAGAAAGAAAAGAAAACAATTCCTATAGTCGCCGCCTGAACTCTGAGGATAAATTGCTATACAAACTATCTGTAAAAAACATTAAATGTGCTTCCATCATGGGTGATCCCTGATTACGGAAAAAAAGCCTTAAACTTTGGGCATTGTCAGCCAGTGTGGGCACCGTACAATTTGCTAAAAGTTCGAACGGGGTCGATGGTTGATGAGCAAAAAAATTAAGCCAGCAGAAAACCAAACTGAAAGTTAGTCATTTATCACTCACTTTGTCAACAATTCTTCGCCTAAAAAAGAAAGCAGAATCTTCTCTCACCAGGAAATGAGCAGGGTGACGCTTGAAAGAGTTGTACTGATTTTTTTCTTTGAAACTGCAATGTATATTGTTTTGCTTGTCTATTTTGATTCGGCAAAGCAGAAATGTCATCAAATAAATCAGTGTTTAATCAACATACAAAGTTATGAAATTGGTCACAGATATTGTCTTAACATTAACTTTACATCAACTGCGTGTTTTATCGATCGCTTTCGACCTCAACCGAAACTATTTATATATACTTTCCTTTGTAAAGGAGTCATAATGATATATAAAAGGCTCACAGTTGACTCACGCGTCTCTGTGCAAAAGCCAAGCATGGACACAATGTTGGGATGTTTTATGAGATCCTTTTGAACCGCTATTTCCTTCTCAAAATCAACGACCACATTCGCATCAGCCGACTCTGAAAAAAAAAACACCAAGAAATAAGCTGTTTTTTTCTTTTTATTTAATCATTTTCATTAGCGTCTTTCTTATATTGATTTGCGCATTATTTCTCCTTCACTCTACTTATCCCGGCCATTAGAAACCGCTCAGGTCAACACACTGGATAGGTATCAATAAAATGCACTGCATCGAGTACCGCATGCATAAGGTAAAATATTTCAAATCAAGTCTCCATTGAGCAAAGTCAGCTGCAATCGACAGTAACTCGTTGTCCCTGTTACACCTGAAATGTAAATGGCTTCTCATTTCTTGATGCAACCCCTAATGCTCTCTCACTCCAAGGGTGATGTTGATATCCTATATTGATTCTACGTTGTTTGTCTGTCAGTCGGGCTGGCTGTCTGTCTGTGTGTCACTTTGCTTTGAAAATGAGTGTGCGGAAGCGCACAATGCCAGGGTTAATGGAGAGGTATCCAGTGTATGCAGGTTCCGATTTCACTGCCCTCTGAAGTCACGCTTGATTTTCGTCATAACACAGAACGAAGTTAATAAACGAAGTTAATAAAAAGGTAATAGGTGCACACCATCCGTCCTTACTTTTGAGTATTTTGACGGCCACTTCTGACTTGATTCCCGGATGGTATATCCCATCTGCCGTGGCACGGTAGACATGGCCAAAGTTACCGCTGCCTAGTACCTCATGCAGGGCGATCCTCCCACGAGGAAAATCGTAGACATTATGTGATTGGTTGAAAGTCCCTCGGTCGTGAGCAGAAACCTCCTGGTTCATACAGTACAAATAAGACATTTTTGAACTAAATGTTAGATGATCATTATTGCAATTAAAAGAAAATCAATATTCAAAATGAAAAAATAATCAAAATGAAAAAAAAAAATCAAAGCTGTGATCATTTGTGGTGGGAAACGTTTTGCAACGGAGTTTGTGTTTAACGAAAACACATTGTCTTAACCGTCAATGCATCATAACACATACACATCAGTATTTCAAATACTGATGTTACCTCTAAGCATTGAGTAGAACTATATTCTACCATTGATGTGATTTTTTGCATTAGTTTACAAGTATGTACTCTGGAAAGTCAAATTGAACCGGAATCCAGTCAGATTCTACAGGGTGAGTGAGTCCAAGAAAACAAAAACCCAATTGGCAGGACCATTTTCTTAAAGGGAATATACATCATTTGTTTTTGCTGTAATTGGGGGGTTGGAAATATATAGCAAATATAGTTACACTGACTTTTTTGAGGTTTTGGATTCGAAAATGCAATAAAAACCAAGAAAAACAATCATTTTCCAGTAGTCTGGTTCCCTGACTCCATATAAGAAGAAACAGAGAAGTTTACATACATTGGGGAATTGTAAGGTCAGGGAACCAGTGTAGCTGGCTTGTACCCGTTCATAGGTGTGTAATCGATTGCCTTCAAGTGCGATGGTCAATTGGGGCCAGTATTTAAAAAAAAGCCATTTTTTTAAAATTGATACAAAAATACCACTTTTCTTGAAAATGACAGTATACCAGGTGCCATGATTTTTCAAGATGCTTTACACTGTCATTCACTAATAGTCCAGCAAGGTGTTTCAAAATTATTTGGTAATTTTATTTTTTGATGTTTCCAAATGTTGTATTTTCCCTTTAATAAAGTTCTGCATGTAGCTCTTTCAAAATCACGGATATGAACGCCCAATTAGTAAGTTTTCTTTAAGTACAAAAAAAATCATTAAAATCAAACATATACTTTTGTGTTTACGGAATCCTAAACACAATCACTGTTTTAAAGTTCTGTCCACGAATCATAAGAACGGTGTGCGTGTCCTTTCAACAAAATTAAAACAATTCATGTGAATTATTGTGAATTGTTTTCGTGTTTTTTTTTGCTAAAAGAACACTTTTTGTGGAAGGAACTTTAAAACGGAGGTTGTGTTTAAAATGCCATAACTCGAAAGTACATCGGTGATTTAAATAATACTCATACTAAAAGCAAGCTTATCACTTGAAAGTGTTATGTGTAAAACTTCAAAATGGTACTGCCATTTGGGTTTCCTCTTTTCGGCTCAACTTGTATTTGGCCTAATCCTCATGAGATTAAAAGATGACACTCTGTCGGATCAAAATGACACTCTGGGTGATTTCCCTCTGGGTTACTGACGCGGATAACTTGACAAAAGTGTCATTGGACAGGTGAAAAGGTCGTGTTTTACATGGGGAAAAAAATAAACACAACATATGAACCCGGATTCCGGGTCGAAACTGAACTGGGTTTTTTTAATGTGCAAGTCCTGTAAAAGGCGCATACACTTATGCAGTTGACACAATCGTCGATCGAAATTTCATTAACATCATTTAAGTGTGATTTTGTTTAAAAATAGGCCTACTTATTATCCTGCAACACAAAGTTGAAAACATACTGTCAGACGAAGTTCTTTTGGCGTTGCGACCCCCTCCTCTGTACGTGTTTGCTGGTATTTTCGTTTCATTATGCAAACTATTGTTATAGCAAAGCAGAAAACAACAGAGGATGTGACTGAGACAACAATGACAGTGAACATGATAGGAAGCTTGGTGACGTCTTGTCTTGTGACTGGGTCCTTGGTTGATGACAGGAAAGTGGTGGCTTGCTGAGGAGTCGGTCTTCCTGGTTCTACAGAAACGATTAAAATAGGTCTGCTTATAATGTAAATTGTAAAAATATTAATGACGAACAGCCTTCCCTTGTTTTACAGTGCCTCTCAATAATGAGAACAACAGATTTCCCCAGATACTCGTGAAGTGCAGCATAAGTTTTCGCGAAGGGAGCACGATGGGTTTTGACGGCCAATTGTCCATCTCTAGAGGGGATTTTTTGTTTCATTATTGAAGCGAGAGAGGTATTCGTGCTTTTAAAGGTAGTTTTCCATCTCGAGAAGGAGCTCAATCTTGTTAATGCAAGAGGGGTACTTGTATTTTCAAGGGGCAGTGTTTTCATTACAAGAGAGGACACAGTTTTATTTGAACTGCGATCATATGCTTTTAAATTTGGGCGTTTGAGGGGCAGTTTTTTTTTGTCATCTCGATGCTGCATATTTATAACCAAAAGAAGGGCACTTCAAATGGCCTGGGGAAAAGAGGAGAAAGGAAAGTGCCCCCCCCCCCGGTTCCGCCGCCCCTGAGTAGAATAATTAAACGACCGTTGATAAAATAACTTTCATTTTAATTATTTCCTTTGGTTTTTCTCCCATAAAACACTGTTGTGTTGTATTCTCTTTAAGCAATGAATTAATTTAAGACCTAATTTTGGGCACAAGCAAACATTTTACGGATAACTAAGTGTCATCCTTGTTGTCATTTTAATAAGGTCTGCTTGCTTCATTCTGTTCTAAATTTTAAAAGTACTTATGTTTTGATAATGGTTACGTAAATATTTTTTCTGTTGGTAACTATTTGCTGAGTAAATTACACCCTCGAGAACGAAGGGAAATGTGTTAGCATACACACAACTAATTCACTTAACACAAATTTTACATTGTTTGATATCAGGCGAAATATAAATGATGTTCAGCGAGTGTTTTTGACCAGGTACATACATTTGTTGACCAAACTTTGAAATTGAATGATGAATAACTCATCCGAATTTTACCGAAATAAATGTGAGATTCCTGTGGGACGAACGTGAATATTAGAATAAGTGAATTGGAAAAAATTATCATCCGCAGTGAGTAAAGAATCTACGACATTTTTAAGGTTTACGAAAATACCTCTTCCAAAATGAAAAAGGTAGGGCAGTGCTTAAATGTACCTTTCTGCATGTTTGCCAACGTAACAATTACTGCATAACAACTTCTTGAAATGATCCCAAACTTTCATGCTTTCAATGTTTTCTCAATTGCCTTGCTAATTTTGACATGCTTAGTTGGATTTACTCTTCTAAATCCCACTAGAGGGAAACCGTTTTCTTATCTTTGTTTAAATTCTTTGGGGCATTTGATACCAGTCTCAGCGGTAAGGAGAGCTACTCATTTTGTTTTCAATTACCTGGCGTATCAAGTGACAAATTTACTGCTATCTCTGCGTACATTCCGTTAGCCGAAAACAGCACCCTGCATACAATTCTGCTGGAGAAGTGATCCTCAGTGATATTCAAGCAGATTTGAGATAAAACGTCCCGCCTCTCCGTGTTGTTTCGAGGCGACCAATCACAACTGCCCTTTATGTGTTCTTGATGACCCTCTTTTTCGATCAGCCACTTGGTGTGATTGGCTGGATTTAAACTAGACGCCTCACACGTGAATCGGTAGAGACCACCGATCTTCACGTCGACCTTGTCCCCGACTACTTTGGAGTCCATCTCAAGAGTGAGGCTCGCTGCATGTTCGACTGAAATAAATAAGATAAAAACGACGATTGCCTTACTTTTCTCCTTCTGTCTCTATGACGAGATTTCTTTAGACAACAAACTCGAGCTATTTGGGGGCAAGCCGCAATTCCAGTCGCACATGTTCCACCAGTGCATCGCATACTGCGGACGTGCGGCAACAACATGTGTATTCGAGGTGTGCACCTGTACATTGTACGTACACACAAACACCCCCGCCCATTTTTTGTCTCATGAGGACCTGATCCTTCCCTTCTTTTATTCCTTTTCGTTTGCACTTCAACTTTCTCTCGACAGCTTCCAAAAGGTTTGTACACGAAATTCTACCGGAACCCAGGTCCTCGGGCCCATTGAAATCGCACACAGCCCGTTGTTCCAAGTCCTCAGTCTGAATGGATAACCAACCGAAACACCCATACCATGCATTGATACGTCTTACATTATGAACACAGAAAATGGGAGCAATGTACAAGAAGTAGAATGTCATTTACTGCTTGAAATACGTATACGTATGCCCTCAAAAGACCGTCGTGTCAGAAATGAACAACCCGGCTTGTTTTCGTCTCTTCTCAGATTAGCTCCTTTCAACCAGAAATTTAAAACATGATGAGTAAATATCTTAAAACATAAACATTTCAGCGATGTTTAGGACAATGTGCCCCTTAAGGCCGTTTTTAACAACAAAAGGCACATAATAGCGAAACGACAACTCAGTAAAAGTAGAAATAGAAATGAAAAGTAAAAGTACAAATGATGTACATGAGCAATTACCTTGCACTACCAAGGTTTTCACAGTTACTGTATTCGAAGGGTTGGTCACTTGACAAGTGATCACAAGGCCAGCATGCTGTCTCGTTGCGGTAAAGTAAATCTCCTTTACGATGTCGAAGCAGCCAGGACGTTGCATATTTAGAAATGAACTTGTGTTAATGTTTGAGTACTCCCCACGAGGATCAAAACTCCACTGGATGGAGGATCGAGGAGCGAGGCAAGATGCGTCACATGTAAACGTCACTGGTTGACCAACGTTAACTGGTGAGGGATGCTGAGTCAAAACGACCTCTTGCCCTTCGAGTAGAAACACACAGAGAGATAAAAAAAATCAGTGAACAGATTTGTACGATGGATGTTGGAATGAAGTGATAATTACCTTTAGATACTCAATTGCAGTTCTGATGCGCCGTCACGTATTTCAAATGCCCCTTGATGAATTTACTGAGCAAACGGCCTTTAGAGACTTTTTTCTCAGCACTAGCTCTCGTGTGCGGCGGACTTAACTCACTAGACCGACAGTCAGTCGTTAATTCAGTCTGATCGACAAAAAAATTGAGGTACAAACAGGACTGTATGCTGTCATGGCCCCTCTGGCACAAGCAAACATGTGTCCAAAGAATGTCCATAATGCGAAACAGCCAGGAGTTGCAAATTGTTTGGCGAGTTATTTCAAACGTCAACACGGGCAAACTCTCAGCGAACGGATGCTCCAACTGTCTAAAGTTGCCTAATATTTCGTAGAAATGCATACATATTTACTACACATGGTGTAAGGAGCTTACTTATTTCTTGTCCTTGCACGACGAATACCTGCAGATGCTCCTCGGTGAACAATGTGGCGTTGTCCGGATGGAAAATTCGACACATGACGCCAAAGTTACTCTCTCCTTCCCGAATCTCAACCCTGGCTTTGCTGATGACATCCCAGAACCAAGAACCGTCACGGAGAGCCTCGGAGTAGTTGGTCTGGCGAAGTATCGATGACCTGTTCCTGTTTTGACCTTTGACCTCCCATTCTATGCGACTTACGGGAATGGAACCCACTGCGGTGCATTCTAGATCCAAGCTGTCTCCAACGCTGACGTTTTGTGTGCAATGATTGCAGGGATTGCAGAGACGACAAGGGAGTTCTTGCGAATCCCAGACACAAAGCTCACTCTTCATCGATGGACCTATTCCGAACAATCGTATTCAAACGAAAAAAAATATTTAACCAGCGCTAACGCATATCACACAATGACTGGGTTTCCACAGGTGACCTGGTCATCTTGTTATCCCTCTTTGAACATCTCAAATGTGGATTGCTTTACAGGTCCCTGTTCATAATTCCACCATACCTAGATTCTCATGTATGAAAACTGCACACATCTCGTCACCGACACCACGAAGTAACACTCTACCGTGTTAAAGCATATTTTTTTTTTATTTTTAAACATTATTCATCAAGGCCTACCATTGCATCCATGGCAACTTTTGCGCAAAAGTGACAATTTTCGTTTTCACGAAGTAAAACTCGAGTTCCATTTTCCATTGCAATGCATGGCGCGCACACTGCTCATAAGTGAGCAAAATCGTTTTCACGAAGTAACACTCTTCTTGTAACAAGTTGTATAAAGTTGCACTTTCCTCGGGTTAAATACATTGAAGAGTGTTACTTCGTGAAAACGGAAATTTACAGTTTCGCAGCTTTTTTCTCTTATTTATTGTTTATTTAATACACAAACCAGTGAAAAACAGCAGATTTAATAAATTCAATTCATCAAGTGTTCACAACGAGAAACCCAACTGAAAATACTCTGTCGTTTTGACGCAAAGTGTTGTTTTAGAAGGCGTTCAACTTTAGTTGCCGTTTTCTCCGATTGCTAGTTTTTACTGGTATGTAGATGGGTGTTACTTCGTGGTGTCGGTGACGATCTGCCTGCCTCTTTGTGTACTATATTATATTGGCATAAACTAAGCTAATTCTTTGCTGGTGATTAAATGAGTATTTGCAAATTTCAGGGGGCTAGCCCAGTGTCATCTTGCTGACGGTCACTTATGTAGAATGGTGCAGAGCCCCGGACAGTGCTATCGTAAAGGATTACCCCGTAACAACAACAAATAAGCTTAATTAGGCCCTTTGGGTAAACCACATGCATTAAAAGACTTCCAGTGAATAGCCATTCTGCATCAGATGAATTAAGTTGTTTTATCTCCAGGCCACCAGACTAACTATAGGATTGGCTTGTCTGTCCACACTAACGACCAATAATGCGTATAGATACACTGGTAACATAGCACATATTAATTATATATTTGCAATCAGAGACAACAAACGAAACAAATATAACATTGTTGCACATGAATGATTACCTTGCACCGCCAAGGTAGCACTGTCATTAACAGTTACTGCATTCCAAGGGTTGATCACATGGCATATGATCACAAGGCCAGCATGCTCTTTCGTCACAGTAAAATAAATCTCCTTCATGATGTCGATGCAGTGACAATGACTCCGGTTTTGAAAGAAGCTTGAGTCACAGCGTTGGTACTTCCCCGGAGGATCAAAGCTAAATTCGATGTAGGACTGACTACCGTAACAAGATGCATTGCACGTAAACGTTACTGGTTGACCAATGCTAACTGGAGAGGGATGCTGCGTCAAAATGACTTCTCGCCCTTCGATTGAAACAAAGACACACAAATGATTTGTTGTCTTATTTAGATTAATTCAGCAAATTATGTATTGAAAACAAGTTTATCTTGTTGGGGAATGGATGAGTCCATACACAATTCTTTGGTTGAGGACTATGTTTACCGTGACTGTTCATTCCACAACAATTATGTTATTTACACATTGATTGAATGAACTGGTTACAGTGAATTGAGACAAAGAGAACTGGGTGAACTGACTGGATGAGCAGAACGAATTAAACTGACTACATGATTGGAATTGAAACAGAAATGAAACAGAAAACAGAATACAATGAAGAACTGCTAGTGGAGCAGCACTTATATACTGGTGGAAAAAGGAAGTCTTGGGAATAAGAAATACTTAAGAATGGGAAAACTTAGTAATATCTTGGTTTCCTTGAGTCTCAGAAAAGTGACTAGGAATGAGTAATATAGTTTCTTAAAACAATGATCTTGAAAGTATCATGGTTGTACTAAGAAACTGACCAATGACTTGTGTGTGGGCAGTGAAGGTCATTTGCTCTGTATAAAAGTATAGGGACAACACATTGCATAGGCACTGTGTGGGTGTATGAGTATACAAGGAAAACGATGAGTAATGCATTCAGGAGAATTAATCATTAAAAAGTTCAAAAGGAACATTATTAATTAAAGTGTGATAATTAACTAAAAATTAAGACGAATTTATAATTAAGAATTGATAATCTGAAAACTCTACAGACTTTGGATTATCAAACTGGTACTCGAATCAGTTTCAACACGTCGTCGTCACGGGCTTCATATAGACGTGCTATTAATCAAGTTTAGCATAACAGGAAATAATGGCCTAGATTACATTTTATCATCAATATATCACTCTTGATAACAGATTAGCCATAATATTGCTCTCACGTTTTGTTACAGAAACAAATACTGCCGACGATGTTAAGACAGTTTGGATTACAGGGAGAAAATGAAGTTTAATTTAGTGAATAGTATACAGAATAAACTACCTCTTCTTAACTCAGCGACCGTGCTATGATTCCAGAATCAACTTGATATGAATGTTAGAGGTTTCCTGCATGTGTTAGCTACTGCACCGGACAATAACATAATGTAATAACGAGTACGGAATATGTTCTTTTCGGGAATGGCAGACACATTTACCATGAAAACCCGTTAAAACTGGTTTCAGCAGTGGTTGGAAATGATGCAAGGATAACGAAAACAGTTAACTATATAATGGAATATAATGAAATGTAATGTTTCAGCTTCTTCCTTTGTTTATCGAAATAAAGAGTTTCCAACAGATAGACGATGGGTACTCAAGAAGGACTTCCAATCGCTTGCAGAACAATTTCGTATCAAACATCAACAATGGCAACTGTTTAAAGTATGTAGCTTGACAAAAAAAAGAAATTGAATATAGCTTACCGAACAGGGGTTCAGCAAGTAGAATCATTGCTATCAGACAGTAAACAATTCCCATCTTGTTTCTTAAACCCTCATAAATGTCGTCATGCGATCAGTGCAGTGTATGAAGGTGA